ATGGCGGAGCCGATTGCATTGGTTCCGTCGCATCGATCGACGACCACCACCACCTCTGCTCTCGGCCTCCTGCTTCAATCCTCCAAGTTTAAGGAAATGATGGAGACGAATTCGGCGGCCGAATTTCCGTCGACGCCGACGTCGTCGTCGGAGCAGATCGAACGTCGGCGGTGTTTGTTTCCCGACGATGTACAGACGTTATTTGCTTGCGATAGCTCCGGCTCTTACTGCTATGGAGAAGCAGACGATGCTATGTTCAGCGACTTCAACTCTTTCGTACCGCCGCCATTGTCGCAGTACGACGATTTGGACGATTAGAGGAAGGATCTGTTCTGTTGGGCGATGGAAAATCAGAAAGGTAGGAGACGATGACAGCAACTAATTATCTGAAATATATTTTTTTAGATACAGGACGAGGACTTATTAGCATTTGTTGATTATAAATAATTCTTTTATTTCGACGAAATATTTGTATTCATAAAGTTATCGTTACGATGCCGCCAAACCGTTGAGCTTTGGGCTAACCACTTGTTATAAAGTTTCATTCTTAATCGTTTTGTTGAGATACGACTCAATTCTTAATTTAGTCTGAAAAATTTTAAATTACTTTCTAATATTTTAGTACAACGTCTGGATGCAAGTCGAATTCACGCCTTTTTATATATATATATATATATATATATATATAGTTTATAGAATTGAGTTATGCTCTTGTGTTGACAAATATAAAAATATTTAAAAATTCTTTGAAATTAATTTGATGTGTTAACAAATATAAAAATATTTAAAAATTATTTGAAATTAATTTGATGGGTTTTCTTACCGTCTAAAATGTATTTTAGTTATATTTCATATACTTTATCAACTCAACTCAAATAAGATTATCAGTCTTAACTAAACGCAACATATCCCGAGCAGCCTAACACTGCCCACGTGGTTTAGTTTAGTTTATTATTTATTATATATAGAACATTACTTGCTCATAAAAAATGAGAAACATATTGTACTCACTATCCTTAAATGTTTGTCATTGAGAAAGAGAAATGCATAAATAAATATTTTTTTATATAAATTAATGAATTGTCAATTTTAATAGTGGCGAGGATAATATTTCGTTAATAAGATTAACGAGCCTAAGTACTTTCTTTTATATACATTCTTTTTATTGGATTTAGTTGGTTGAGCTCTTGGGTCCAAAGAGTTGAGTAGCCGATCAACCTATAATAATAAATAATTATAAATTATACACATTTATTGTCAATTTAAAGTTCTTTCCACTCTAAATGCATTTTTATTTCTAATCAATTAATTTAAAATCCGAACTTGGATGCTTTTGAAGTTGAATGTTGAAGTCCCTGCCATACCTTAATCATTCACCTCATAAGTTTTGAATTATGTCACTCCACCTTGTTTAAAGCTTAAACAAAAAAAAAACAACTTTATTATATTTTCTATATGCATATTTATCATGCATTATAACATAATATGATAGGTTTTTTATTTTCATATGAGTGATGCATGATATGCCAATATATTAATAATGTTCCTATCTTAATCATACACCACCATAAATTGACAACAAAAATATCGTAGTAACTTTTTTGTTAATTTGGTAAGCAATTAGGATTAAATTCAAATCTTATTAATATGTAGGTAATTAAAACAAAATGCTTTCAATTAGATTAGAATAAGATAAACTTGAAGAACTCAAACTATATTATAACTTTAAATTAAGCCCAAAAAAAAAGAGTACTATTCACCAAATGGATGCAACCTGGTTTTGATGACAGGGGTGTGGGGGCATCAAATGGGTAGTCTTAAATTCAAATGGCGATGTGGTGCAAGCAGGAAACAGATGTATTAGTAGGAAGATAATTGTCAAATGCTTGGAAGATATGACAATTCAATACTGATTTAAGAAACCTTTACAATCCAGAGAGTTTTGACATTTACCTTGAAACAGACTTTCTAGAACTCGCAAATCTGTCGAAGGATGAAAATGCAAAAGATGTAGCAGAGTCAATTTGGAGGTTGGATTTTGCTGAAATTCCTTTGTGGTTCGCATTGTTACACTAAATCTGTTTAAGTGACTTTGTTTCTTAAAAAAAAAGGTTTACCATGCTATTGTGAATGTAATTTTGGAGATATATATCCATTATCGTTGAATTATGTAATTTTAACTTATTGTAAATGTAATTATTAGTTTAGAACGATAGATAATTTATTTATTTGTGAGAAGAGCATGGTATATAATTAAACAGTGTACCTTTTGGGGCGTCCGTGGTACCAAATCTGTCCGTATTCTCCTAACCACCTGCGAAATTTTAAAATTCCCGCGCAGGCCATTTATCTCCCCCCGCGCACATTGGCTGATTAAAAAGCAAGACCTGCCACGGCCACACGCGGTGGCAACTTCGTAAATCCATGCCGACAGTTCGGTCTTTACCGTAATTTCACGAGGCTCCTCCTCCGTGAATATATAATTTCATTTCTCCCGCCCAATTTATTCTCATCTACTTCGCTCTCTGCTACTTTTTGTATGCTTATTTCATTTCCCACAACAAAATGCCAGACTTGGGAAATCTCTCACTCTCTGCATCTATTATGCTCACTCGGTGCCCTAATCTCAAACCAGTCGTCGATCCTTCTGATCTGACCTCCACCTTCCTCTGCGATCAATCAGTTAAATCTCTGGCCACTGACTGTATTTGGGGCCGGGGGTTTCATTGTCAGTTCCTCAACAACGATGAGGTCGGTGGAGCCTGTGAAATTAGGGTTCCGAGGCAGAGCGCAGACGCGTTGGACCGATCTAAAAAGCCTTTCAGTGGGAAGACTTTGGAAGACCACGTGAAATCTTGGGTCCGGAGGAAGCAAGAGTCGGGCGTTCCCGAGTCTCGGTGTTCATTTCCGTTTCTCGACGGCTCTCGGAAGATGGTAATTTCTCTACATGTTTTACTTCTTCATCAGGTTTTGCAGGTGTCATGTTTTACGGGGCCCGGTAGATTGGGCAACATTGTACTCGATTTAGTATTTAGCACGTCTTTCTTAGTTGGAGTTCCATTATTCTTGATTCAAGCGAACTGTATTTTCTTTAAATTATTAGGAATTGAAGTCCCGGGTAAAATTTTGAAGCTGAATCAAGTGTTTTCGTGGAAGTATCATGTTGGAGTAGTTCACTTTCCCATAATAAATGCTTGAGGAGGAAATGATTTAAGACGTAGGGCGTAGGAAATTTTGTTGGAGTAGCTTATGACGAGAATTCTTGTCCCGTCGATATTAATTTTATCTACAAGGAAGTTAGTTGCTTTTGCTTCCCCTTATTATAAATGGACTTGCGGCTGTTAACTGAAGATTCTAAACAAGATGCTTGAACTGCAATCTAAAATTTTATGTCGATTAAATCGTTTTTTCTGTCTGCTCCAGGTAGTAAAAGAATGTCTATGTTGCCGTAGACATATATTTCATGGGGAGGAGGTCCAATGCACTGTTCGTGGCTGTGGAGGAGTTTATCATGCAATATGTGCTAAGGAAACCTTGGGGGTCTCAAATCACAGGAAATTCAAGTGCCCCCAACATGTAATCTTATTATATTTCCTGTTGAACTATATCTATCCTTTCAAAGAAAAACAGTGACAAATGTCTTCTTTTTTCAAACAAAGCGTTCTTCTGTTTTCATTACAACCAATTAGCTTAAGCTGTTTGTTGACATCATTAGCTGATAAGTTGCTTGTTTTTCTTATTTCTTTCCAAAATTTCAATACCTTTTAATAAGACGACTACTCGGGTTGTTCTTATCTGTCTACAGATATTTATCAAATTCATTCAATGTTTGTACGATTTTATTCCACCGGGACGGGCTATATTCATCTAGATTTAAAAATTCGATTGTATTTTCATGTACTTTCCTTCCCCCCAATCCGTAGAGGACAGAATCCAAATTACATCTAAAACAACGAGCCCATCTATTTATTTTTAATTTATCTCTGTTTTTTTCTTCTTCTGTTTATAATTTTAGTCTAAGATCGAGTTTTAAATTTTACCTAAAAACGTACTTATATTAACATAAATTTAATTAGAATAATCAAACCCAATTGGTTAGGATTAGTATGAACTATAACTAGCAAAATATTAGTCCAACTAAGCTTAACAAGTAAAGCTCAATTGCACAACGCCTTTAGTGAGAGCAGTCTTAACATTATGAAGGCAATGAGAATTTAAGTAGTCGATGTATGTTTACGAAAATTAATAGCCTTTAGTTATTTGTATTCTTCTAACGTGTTTGTATCATGCTCTTGCGGCATGTACATAAAGGATTCTATAGTCTAGAGAATCAAGCTACAGTCTAGAGCATTAGGACTATCAATCTATGATAAGTAATGGATTACATATATATATATATATATATATATAACTGAACAATGAACTGTTTTGAGTGAATTTTTATACAGGGCTTTTATCAAATAGTGGGAAACAGTAGCTGATACGTGTGTGTGTGTTTGTTTTTCGATAAACAGGAGTGCTTTGTATGCAAACAAAGACTACATTGGAAGTGCATACGCTGCACTATAGCATCGCATGATAAATGTGCACCATGGCCAGATAAAGTGTTGCATTTAATAAATCAACCTGGAAGAGCCATCTGCTGGAGGCATCCATCCGACTGGCGAGTGGACGTAAAGGTCAATTTCTTCTATCCTTTACCTCTAGAATTGTAATTAACTCTCTTTGAAGCAGCTATCTCATGCTCAACGTCTTTACTGATTTGAGTGTATGTAAGACGTTCTTTAGATGAATGCTCGTATAAAAGATTCTAGCTTCTTTCTGGTCGCTTTCAATTGCATTATGCAACGGTCGCTTTTTGCTTTTGAAGACAAAACTACTTTGATTATGGTAGCATGCTTAAATGAATGACTACTTTGCTCTTTGGAAAGTCCATGCGAAATAATGGCTGCATAGGTGATTTCTTGTCTTCAGCTATCATATTATGCAGTTCAATCTCCAGTGACTGGTAACTTCGAAAGTCTGGCATGAGGTGGAGCTTCCTGTGATCTTTTATTTGCCAATTATATTATTAGTATTTTGATAGTGTATGTAATTCAGGCTTGTTATAACTTTTCATTTCATTTAAAAGATACCTTGTTTTAATGCTTATTATCTGGCTGGCAAATCTTGTCTTTGACCTTTTTCTCTGTTTTTACTTTCTTGTTGAAGTTTTACTTCTGCATCTATATCTTTATTCTTTAGGCTGGCTGACAGGACTATTATATTTGTTGAATGGACAGCATGCAGTGTCAACAAGTGACATAGAGGTTCGATTCATGAACATCTTACTTTATTAAATTCTCTCACCCCCTCCCCCCGTGGTGAACATGTCGAGTATTCGTGCTACATTTTGAATTTTGAAAGCATATTGTTTTGATTATTAGTCGGAGCACTTGATCCAACTAGCTTTTCAGAATGCTTGAAATCAATTGTCTGGAAACAAGCACTTCTATTTTTTTTTTTTTTGGGTTGTGGATAATTTTTCGACGTTTTTGTTTGTTTTCAATATGTTATGATCAACCTTTTAGCTTGATGAAAACCAGCACCATATACACGTGAGACTGATGCGATTTATAACTCTAATTTTAAATTTGAAGCTGTCTTTATTTTTTTCATTTGAATTTTCACTTGAAGATTATTGGTCAAGGTATTTATCGATTTGAACCGAAATATGTAATTAGCTTTCTCATGTCACCTGTTCTTTGTCTATAATGTAGTTTCATGACTGAATCTATATACGAAAAATTGACAGAACATGCCAAATGTAGAATGTTCTTGGAGTTGAATAATCTAAAATTTATATTGCTTGATGTCCTCACTCGCCAAACTTTCTGGAGAAGAAAAGGGGTTCCATGATACATAACGTCATAAGTCGCGTTTTCTATCACCGTATCTCATGAAATTTCTTTTTACTTCAAATTTAGGAGGTATTTTGTCGCTTGCCTCTTCCATATGTTGACGAGGAATTCAAGATTGACATAACATGGAAAGATACGGAGAAAAAGATGGAACCACCGCCATACACCCACATAAGGCGCAGTATCCTCTTGTATTGTCATTAAGTTATGTTTTAATACAGAAGTAGATTACTGTTAGATGATACATAATGTAGGCGTAGAAATGCATTGTCATGATGATGATAAAAGTTTATTTCTAGCTTCTTTGCAATAATAAAAGTTATCTCCTCTTTTTATGGGCACGGCTTATTAACAAGTTTTTCTTAGAAGTTTCTTGAACTTCTTCAGATTGCTATTATTATTATTATTATTATTATTGATTAGTAGGTTTATTAAATTCTCGCTATAACAATCATACCATTTGTCTTAACTGAGGTAAGATATTTATCTAGTAAAGAAAAAGCGGGATAATGGCGTTGCTGATGGCCTTGGATGTACAAACTGTAAATCTGAATGCTCCGATGACTGTGTGTGCAGGTAGTCCTAAGATCTTCTTTGCGTCTAAAATGATTAATTATTGATGTCTAACAAATTATGTTCACTTCTTATATGCTTGTCACAAAAACATGCACGATGTGCATATAAATGTACTCTGTACAAGTGTTCTTACGACACCTATAAAAGTTGTGCAAATTTATAGACACATATATGCTTTATTTCTACGAGTTCGAAATTTATTTTGAATGAATAAAGTGAATTTATCAAACTACTTTCTCATGCTTAACTGTTCCAGCGTTAAATTAGCTCTGATTATGGCTTACTAGGGTTCAATGCATAAGCTGCTCAAAGGCTTGCCATTGTAGAGATACTTGTACAAACAGACCATTCCGTAAGGAGAAGAAGATCAAAATTGTTAAGGTAATTGTTTGATGAATTATACATATATCTAATTCTCGAATTTTTTAGATTTTCTATTCCTTGAATAAGAATTGCTATATTTCTGGATATATTTTATCGATGCAGGTTGAGGTTATTTCTAAATTCCCTCTTTTAAAGGTTACTTATTGATAAACTAATTTCAGACTGAACTATGTGGCTGGGGTGTGGAGGCAGCTGAGCCTATTTGTAAAGGTGAATTTGTCATCGAGTACATTGGGGAAGGTATTTCTTCTCGTTGTTCTTTGCAATTTGCATGCAACACAATCAATTTATTGATGCTAGATAAGTCTCTACTTGTCTCTATATTTGTCAAATTAGGGAGTCTACGTCAAATACAATTTTTTCCTAAGCAGAAATCTTTCCCTTTAAGCTTTCTAGTAGAGTTGTGTATGGGAGCCTAATGAGAGTGAAGGTTATTTCTTGCTTTTTTGAACGTAACTTGTTAATATGTTTGTCTTGTTCTCAGTTATTGATGATGCTCTATGTGAACAAAGGCTTTGGGACATGAAATATAAAGGCATGAAGAATTTCTACATGTGTGAAATTCGGAAAGACTTCACGATTGATGCAACTTTTAAGGGAAATGCTTCTCGCTTTCTAAACCACAGCTGCGATCCCAACTGTAGTCTTGAGAAGTGGTTAGTTGATTTACCTTCTTTGTTTGCTGGGATTTTAAACAAGTTTACATGTCATTTGTGGCAATTTACTCTGTGTTAACAATTATATACCGTACATAAATTAATAATTGATCGAATTCATAAATTAATAATTGATCGAATAATTTTGCAGTTGTCTACCTCCACAGCAGTAATTTAAGTTTACATGTCACTTGTGGAAATTTACTCTGTGTTAACAATTATATACCGTACATAAATTAAGAATTGATCGAATCATTTTGCTGTTGTCTACCTCCACAGCAGTCATTTAAGTTGTTGCAAGCTGACAGCATGCCATTATAACTGCCTCATGGACAAACTATGCTCTTTCTGTCGTATTAATGATATTTATTTCATAGTCATTGATTTTTGCCCTTTTCATGAAATAGTGGAGGGAGCTCCCCATGCTAGTAAGCTTATAAATGTAATTAATCACGTCAGTTTCATCTCTGCCCTTTGTAATGTATGAAAACCTGTATTTTTCTAGACTAACCAAATTCTCTGAGTGTTGACTCTTGTAGAGGAGGCTTGCGTATTGGATGGTGTTGCCTTTGACATTTGCAGAGTAGTAGACGCTATTGTTTTTATATACCATAGATTAACTTTGTCGTGTTGGAGACTTTTATTTTACGGTTATGAGAAGACAATTATCACTTTTATCTGGAACGTTAAAGATGATAATCATGTCAAATGTACTTGTAAATCCCTAGCTGCACTTCTGAGTACTAATAAATTAAAGAAATTCGTGAATTGTATGTCCTAATAGACTAATCTTACAAATATGAGATTCTCTGACTAAATAATATTGGTTTTGAACAGGCAAGTTGAGGGTGAAACACGTGTTGGCGTGTTTTCTGCTCGATCAATTGAGGTTGGAGAGCCATTAACATATGACTACAGGTACGTAAAAGTACGGTCTATTTCATGTGACTGCTATCTCTTATTTGCTTGGTTGGAGCAAGGGGCATATCGTAGACTGATATTTGGGACGTCCTGCGACTTTCGGTGATCGTTATTTTTAAGATTATACTGGTATAACTTTATTTTGGTTTTTCGTTTAATTTTTTCATGAGCATGAGGAGATTCGAAACCCAAGGTGTGATGTTCATTCCCATGCTGAAAACTCACACTATTTTGTTTTTAATAAGAAACTAAATTTTTATAGAGAGAAATGGAAAGAAATACAATAGCATAAAAACCAGACAATATAAAACCCTGATAGCATAAAAAACAGACAAGATAAAACCCTGATAGCATAAAAAACAGACAAGATAAAACCCTAAAGAAAAGAAGCTCCAATCTAAAAGAATTAATTCTTGACTGATAATTATAAAATACTTTAGAAATCAACCCCACAAAAAATTATGAAATCTAATAAGATCTCAAATAAGCTCCGTAGATCTTTCTACCTCTAAAAAATCTATTATTATTTATTCCTCCCAAGCCAAATATCCTACAAAATGGTCAAGAATCAAGCCTGCCACAACAACCTTCCTATATCTTAAATAGGGGGACAGCAACACCTCCATCATCAGTCCCCAAAAACTCCCCAAAAAATGAAAATGATCCCATAAATTCTGCATGAACTTGACAAGACCACATAATGTGGTGAAGATCTTTAAGGCTCCAACACACCACTGCGAAAGAACGTCTCTGAATACAATCGAAGATGTTGATTTTCTCATATAAGACGCGTCACCTAAAGAATTAAAAAATTTTCGAAATTTTGACCTACCAAAGAGAGGTAAACAGTGGAGCAGAAGATGGACTAGAAGGGAAGTCAAAATATAGAAAAAAGAACTACAGGAAAACCCTTGGAAGGGTTAGGGAACCAAACCTGAAAATCCTCCCCGCAACAAAAAGGAACATATGACAGCATAAGAAGCAAGCCGGAGACCTCCGAAGTCCCCTCTATCCATCAAACAGACGTCAGAGGACGACTGAAAAACTTGCACTATTAATCTGTAGTGAGAGTTCAGTTGCTGAATCAGAATTTTGTTTCTGTTAATTTGCTATGTACCTTATTTATTCATCCTGTTCATATGATTGGCATCATCATCCTAAACTTTAGTGGAGGATAGGGAAGTTATTGGCTTCTTTGGCGGACACCGCCATGTTTGCCAAAGGAAAACATATTTGCATAGGTCAAAGAACAGGGAAATCTGTTGCATCACTTCTGCTGTATCGAAAATCTAAAATCATAGAGGACATTTTAGAATTTGAACTATAAACTGATCGGCTTGCTTACCAGTTAGGTTTCTTTAGTAATTTTTACCTTTTTTAGCTGATGAAACTTGTCAAGCTTTATAATTTTTTCGGGTATGGATAAATGCCAAAGTTACATCTTATATTGAAAAATGAACTAAGTGATTTTTCATCTTGAAGATTTGTGCAATTTGGACCTGAGGTGAAATGCCATTGTGGTGCTCCAAACTGCCAACGCTATCTTGGAACCAAAAAAAGAATAAGTGCCATGGACCTCTTCTGGGGTACAAAACGCAGGAGAACCACAGCAGCTCGTATAACTGGTATTACTGTATGATTCATATTAACTGGTGTAGTTGGGTCAATATTACTGTACATTACTACTCTTGATATAAAGTGGGCCAACACGCAAGAAGAATAGGAGCAAAATAAGTACAAATGCCATTTGTTGCAATGCTATTAAATTCTTTGAAATTCAACAAACCATTGTGAAGTTCTCCAGAATTTTCTTGTTGGAGAACGTTGATATTGAGGAATACGTGTAATTGACTTTACCCAATTTGTCTAAAGCGATCAAAGAATTCTTTTGTAGTATTGAATGTTTAATGTTACTCATTGGAGATGATTTCATGAGTGAAATTCAGCTAAAAAGCATCCATTTGATAACCTTTATGTACTCAATTTTATATTTTAAAAAAAACCCTTTATGCTAAAATTGTATTTAAATCTTAACCCCACTTGTATATATTCGAAAAGTATGGCATAATCTATTTCTATATGTATCACTGTGATTGGATTGATCCTTCTAAATTAGAATGATTAAGGTTTCTTATTCCTCTTCCTAGTAAACATTTGTTAGCCATGTAGTTCAACAAAAGATTCATACTAATCAACAATAATATTTTAGCATTCCATGTGATTACAATTAAAAAGCAGATTCCATTAATCTTCCTTTGAGAAACTTCTTGCAGATCTTCTCCCACCACTTTGTATCTGGTTCTGCCGCTTGCAATCCCAGCTTTGCATCTTCAGCAAATTTCCTCTTCAAAAAATCATGATCTTCAATAAGAAGTTAAAAGGTAAAAAAGAAGAGATGAAACTATAATCATTTTTTGATAAATTGGGATTAGAAAATTAATTATGTACCCGTATGGAGTAATTATTGAGGAGGTGATCGACGAGACCGTAGAGAATGTCTTTAGAATACTCAGGGTGGCCTTGAATGCCTAAAATATGGTCTCCAATGGCGAAAATTTCAACACCTGTCTTGTCTGAGAAGCCTATGATTTGAGCTCCATGAGGTATTTCCCAAACTTCATCTTGATGGCACTCTATTATGGACAGATTGCTTGGCATTTCACCCATATCTTCAACAAACCTCCACTCTGAACTCTCCATTATTTGCACTTTTCTCACTCCTATATCCCACCCTGTCTCTGCCCTCCCAACTTTTCCTCCCAATGCCCTACATAAAACCTGTCACAAACATACAAATTTCAACTCTTCAATATACACTTATATCAAATAGATTTTCAATAGATAGCCTACTATTGCAGAAATTCAAACCTAGATTCCTTCCTTCAAGTATTGAATTTGAAAGTTTTAAGTTTAGACTACACATAAGTTTCCTATCTTAATATATTTTGTACCCTTTGTTTATAATATTAGTTTAGGAAATATTATTTTCATGTAGTCTATCTAAGCTTTCTGGTTTACAGAAAAGGACATGTATAAAGGCAATAGTATGTGACATGGGAGGGTGTATAGAATGCATATATTACCTGATGACCAAAACAAATGCCAAGAACCTTCTTCTCCATTGTGTCAAGGGTCTGCAAGAGGAAACATAGATCCAAAATCCAGGAGTCATTGGCATAGGCATCGTGAGGGCTTCCACTGATCACAAAACCATGGTAGTTTTGAAGCTCATCAATGGCGGGAAACTCTCCCTCCACCACCATAAACAAATCCCATCTCTCTCCTTCTTCTCCAAAAGCTGCAACGAACACACTGAAATACCCTCCATACACTTTCTTTGCATATTCTGAGTCCTGCACTGCCTGCAACAGTGCGTATCTTTTTCCACCACCTTCTTCTATCTCCACCATTATTATTATAACAATACTTTGAGCAGCTTTTTAGGAAATGGTTAAAGCTCTCTCCTGTTTGGCTTTTCTGGAACAATGAGAAGCTCCTTTATATAGGAAAGCTTTAAGTATCAACTGGAAAATCATGAGCTTCCAGATGAAGATATTATTTACATATAGCACCACAACTTGTCCTTTTAGAAGCTACCAGAATAACGGTCACATTGTGCCAACTTCATGGATTATCCTTTTTCTTTTTTGGGATTTTGGAAAAGAAAATCTTGCAAGAATCATGGTCTGATTGACTTTTTTGTTTTTTATTTTGTTATTTTTTTTTTTCAAATTTCCCAGAACTGCTGTTAATATGATCACCTTAGCTTTTCCTAGAGTGGAATCAATTGAATTTAAACCAGTTTTAGAGGTAAAAGCATTCAAGAAGGTGTGGATATTTAGATGATTCATTTTCGTAGTGGGTATATTTTCAGTGTGAGATTATTAGATTATAAGTTAACCTTTACACTTGGTATATTAAATTTATTCTGTTATTCGATTCCATTTAAGGTCGGATCATGAATAGTGTAGAAGGTTTATTAGGCCGGTTGGTTGATATTCCAAAGTTTGTTTCCCATTGATAGATTGGAATCTCTGTGATTGGTTCATTCCCTATTTCTTAATTCTTCATTCTATTAAAGGGAGAATTGGGTTTGGTAAAAAGAATTTCAGGAGAGGCCAAATGCATCACACACACATATTAGTTAAAATATAGTTTGTCGTCTCTGTTTCTACTATGGTCCATTAAGTTTAAACTTTTTTTATATTTATTCCTAAAGTTTTAATAGATCTCAAATTCATTATGCGAGGTTAAAGTTAGACTAAAATAATAATAATAATAATAATAATAATAATAATAATAATAATAATAATAATAATAATAATACAGTTTATTATATTGTTGATAAATATCTGGTATGGAGATGACAAATTTAACAATATAGATATGTTATACATTACCTGCCTTCAAATTAAGAAGAGATAAAGTTGGAACATATTCAGGAAAAAATGTGTGTAACAAGAAAACGCATTACATCAATTTTTGATTATTTTAAGGTCACTTATTGAATTTGAAATTTGTTTAAAGTTGAGAAACTAAGAGCTCGTTTGGCAACATTCCCGTTTCTTCCCGTGACCAATTTTGTGAAGAAATCTAAGTATTTTTCAACTAACTTTGTTTCTTGGAACATTCTCACAATTGTATAGAAATTTTGGAAACAACCAAAACTAGTTTCTCCTTTCTTATTTCCATTTTCAATTTGTTCCAAAACATAAATAAAAAGGTTGTTTAATCATACTTGAATTCTTAGAGGTTGGAATCATGCAATACACTTTTCTTCGTTAAAAATAAAGGAACATAAACAAAAAAACGAAACGTTACCAAACGAGCTTTATATATATATATATATTTTGTGACGTAGTCAAAAGTGAGGGCAGCTTCTAATTACTATGGAACCAAGAAGGTTCCGTAAAAAAAAAAAGAAAGAAKGAAAGAATCAAACACGAAGAACATTGTGAAATATAATCTTTAGTGAAATCGATGAAGAGTTGTTGGAAAATTAGATGCTCCAGAACAATTTTTCCTTCCACAATTCTATTCAGTAAATCACAATCACACAATACAAATAAAAGATTAAAGGGAAAAACAAAAAACGATATAAGAATTTATACTGGTTCACCTCAACTATTTATGAGCTACGTCCACTAATAAATTGAGATGAGTTTCACTTTCACTAAACACACGTGATACAGACTATTCAAGTCTCTTTTATTTGGATTAGGTACAAATACAACTTAAAAAAAGGGTTCTAGTTATAGGAAGTCAAAGATCATAATCCTTATTAGAAAAAAACAATATTATAATCCTCGTAAGAAAACAATATCCTACTCTTTGTAAGAATCTATAGAAGTGTTGAAAATCTTTTTCGGTATGAATTTTCTATCTTGATTCCATTATCTCAATAGGAGTCCTGTTTACTCAAATTGACACCCAATTAAAACGAAAAAGGTTAATTTCGACTTAGAGTGATGAATTGGATCCTAATTGATAAATGTATCATCTTAAAGGTCGATTGTATCACAACCCTCGTTACTATTCAACTAAAAAAGATTTAACTTGTGGCATCTTAAAAGGACAGACAAATAGGACTCACAATTAAACAGTAATTCCAAAGAACAATGTCTTAAAAAGCATTTGCCTTTTGCTTCCATGAAATTTGCTTTTCTTTTGACGTACCAAACAGCAAACATCTTGAAGTTGAAAGGGAACTGAGCATTTTATTACTTTTCTTTTCCCGTTATTAAAAGAAAAGAAAAGAGGCTTGCTATCTTAGGCTAGACATTAACCAAATAGAGATATTCCTTCGAAGAATCATTCTATAAGAATAGTAGCCATTTGTCATGTGGCTTGAATAACAAAGTTCAATCAAATTTTAGGGGCATTGATCGTAAATATGATCATATCCATAGATGACAAGTTGGAGCTCATTTAAATGTTAAACTAAATTTAATCAAATAAATTTCTTTCGAAAAAAAATTTAATAGAATAATTATAATTGAGATAATCTATTATGATAAATAAAGCATGGTTTTTTATATGTTGAGAAATATATCGTTTTATTAATTTTGTGCATACTTTTTAATAGAAAATAAGAAATTATGCATATAATTAAATTGATATCAAGTTCGATTTGACAATTTAATACTGAAATGACTTTATATATATTATTAATATAGCGTTTTAATAGATATCGAATAATATCATATTCGATAATGTCTAAGTATCGAAGACTATGAAGTAAATGAAGTCTCTATTTCTGATTTTTATTATTATTATTTTTTTACTATTAAATGCTGGAAATCAAGTTCTTTGTCAGCTGGCAGATGTAAAATGACCCGCCTACATTCTTGATAACAATTGGGCCCAATGAGCCCATTCACAAAACTGGGCTGGCCTCATTTAAAGTCACCATCCTAGAGGTCGAGTTGGGCCTGACTATTCATTATCCTTTGGAAAGTCAAATATGTTTTATTTTTGAGTAAATAAAAGTCTAATATCATACAAACAACAATTCCCACAAATAATTGTAAATATTGCCATAAATAGAAAGCATGTCGATTAGTATGATTTATCTAAGCCAACTCATATTAATGAATAATTATTATGATTACAATCTATATAAATATATATATATACCAACACAATTTAGTTACATAATAAAAAGAAAAATCCGCTCTAATATGTAGCCATCTCTCTCTCTCTCTCTCTCTCTCTCTCTTTTTTTTTTCCTTTTATTTATGGGAATGGAAAGGCTTTATTGGGGGCCCATAAAAATTGGAAGTTGGAAGGAAGTATTCGTTTTGCCGTCTGGAAATGGAACCTGGCTTTCTGCTCCTCCACTTATCTTTTTAGTTTTATCCAACGTAAAAAACAGCCCCTCTTTCTTTCAAAAAAGTTGTGTGTTTTTGCTTTTGCTTTCTTCTCTCTTCTTCTTAAATCTTGCCCTTCTTCATCAAGCTTCCTAAATTGCAAACCAAAAAAATGACCTGCAATTGGAACCTCCCTTCTTCATTCTCTTTGTTCTTTTATCTCCCTTCAATTCCCAAACTACCCTTATTCCTTTCTTCTTTTTTTTCTTAAGAAAGGATTATGAAAATGGTTAGCTAGCTTAGCTAGTTAGCCATTTAGGTCTGCAGCAAGCAAAGCAAGACAGCAAACAGCTATTAGCTATGTATGTAAGGTTTTAGAAAAATTAGTGCTTTTTTTTTTTTGGGAATTTGAAATTAATAAAATAATAATGGGTGTGGGACAAAGTCAAAGAATGGGGTGGTTTGTCATGAAAAAGCAGCTAATTTTGAGTACTTGACTCCATTTTCAATCATTTTCTAAACCATTTTTATTATTGTCTAGGTCCTAGAGTCCACATTCACCGCAAAAGCAATTGTAAGATGAGGGGAAAAAAAGTTGGGTTTTTTTTTTTTGGGTTCTCCTAAGGCTGTTGTTGTGACAAATTGACAATCAGGTCCCTCCCTGTCCTCAATTTCCCCACTTTGAAAATTTGAAAGCTGACGGAAGGAAATCATTTTAAATTTGGTTTTTATGTATTTCAGAAAATTAAAAAGAGATGGAGCTGTTGCCATCTCTTCAGATCAGATCAGCTCTCCAAATTTATTTGAACATTTGTACTGTTTCTCTGTTGTTTAATTGCTGGCTTCTTGAATTGAATACCATATCATATCAGGACACGTGTACGGCTCTGAAGTCATGTGGAACACCACATTGGCAATAATGGAGATGGTGGTGATTGGGCAATGATAGCCTCATGATCTGATGCAACGTCCTTAAGGGTGAGCGTTCAGGGTACCACCATCTTGGCTTCAAATGCTAAAATTTTGTATTTTCCCCCCTTATTCTTTGGCCCAATATGGCAAATAGATTCACCATTTTACTTATTTTATTATTATTATTTTGTTTTTATTTTATAACAACATGCGAGGGTGTGAAATCGAACTCACAACCTTTTGATTTGAGATATATGTCAATTATCATTGAGTTATGCTCTCTTCGACACCACTCTTACATATTTATTGCAAGTCGTTGACAATATTTAATAATGATATGAAGCCAGTAATATTTAAGGATTACTTATAGAATAGTTTAGTTTGTTGATGATAAATTTAACATAATACCAAATGAACTAATAGACATTTAGAAGAGAAAAGATGACCATTAGAAGAAGAAAACTATCAATTTCACAAAAATTTGAAAGAAGAATTAGAAATTTTCAGTATGAACTTTTTTTTCTCTTTCTAAATTTAAGAACGGTGCGAAAATAGATTGAAAATGTTAAAACATAAGAGACTAAATTGAAACTTTTTAAACAATAAAGTCTAATTAAAAAAAAAAGACACTCCAACGTTACAAAGTAAACATGTATTTAGCCATTATTTATTATTAAAGTAAAACATATATTTAGTCATTGTTTATTATTACTACTATAAGAGAGAATTAATTAA